TTTTTGACACCAAGGCCCACAAGAAGACACAAAGAGCACAGAATGGACACACGCAAGGCAAACCCATTTGAACAGAATCACGCTTTTGGGCAGACAACGCACTGGATCAGGGCTAACCTACTTGAGAAGATGCGAAAACAAGGCAAGCCAATTTAAAAGGCATGGAAAGCACATGGGAAAACCAGCCAGGAAACCCAAAAATACGAAGCCAACAACACGAAAATCACATTGGGGCCTATAGCCAGTTTTTGTCGCAACAAGGCTCACAAAGACAAAGAACCAAGGGTAACCCATTTAAAATAGATGAAAAAGCACCTAAGGCACAAAGGGCACAGAAGAGACGGAAACAAAGCAAATCAGCTTAAGATGAGAACTTTTTGACACCAAGGCCCACAAGAAGACACAAAGAGCACAGAATGGACACAAGCAAGGCAAACCCTTTTGAAAGGCACCTGGGAAGATTGACACGGCAACCCCAAAAGTATGAAACTACGCTTTTGGGCAGACAACGCACTGGATCAAGGCTAATCTACTTGAGAAGAGGCGAAAACAAGGCAAGCCAACTTAAGAGACATGGAAAGCACAGAGGAAAGCCAACCAGGAAAACCAAAAATACGAAGCCAACAACACGAAAATCACATTGGGGCCTAGAGCAGCCAGTTTTTGTCGCAACAAGGCTCACAAAGACAAAGAACCAACAGTCTAAAATCACATTGAGGCTTAAAACCAGTTCTTTAGCAACAAGGCTCGCAAAGACAAAGAACCAAGAGTAACCCAAAAAGGATGGAAAACACCTGGCGCACAAAGAGCACAGAAGAGAGGTAAACAAAGCAAACCATTAGTGAACTTGGCCATTTAGAAGAACCGCGCCTGCTCGCTTCTCGCTTTCCGTTGCTTGCCGGACTGGTTTGCAGGTGAAATGACCTTCAAATCTGAAGAAATTGAAATAACAACTGTTGGGTGTGATTGTTTGAAGACCTTTTCCATAAACATCTGCTTTGACGCTGGCCAACATGAAAATTCCATACACTTTCTATACATATGTGCAGAGCCATGTTCAGTTTGCGATACTGGTAGACTGACAGATTCTTTTTGGTCATTGGGTCACTGAATCCCGACATTGCAGGGACCCCCACACATGCCAGCTTTTTGTGAGATTCCAAAGGCCTCACAATAGACTGCAATCTGAGGTTGGCGCTTTTCATATTTGGCTGTGTTGCCTTGGAGTTTATCACCAAGGCTTGGTAGAAGTGTTGGGCAACAGGTACAATTTTGTGAGCTTGCGTCTCTGGATATCACGCTCACGTAGAGATAGAGAAGAAGAAACCGCAGAATGAAGATGAAGAAGATGAAGAAGAGGAGGAAGAAAAAGAAGAAGTGGAAGTGGGAAGGGGGGCAGTTCTTCATATCTCAAGCACTTCATGGCAACACTTGGGCAAGGTCTTTCGCTTAGACAAGCCACGTCTCGGCGTTGTGTTTACTCTTTAGCAGAAGCTTTTCCGTACCAGCGGGTACAAGAAAGCTGAAGCTTGGGTCGCTTTTTTTCCTCCTGGTTTCGGGCAGGACCTTGCTTTGAAAGAACACCCGGAGACAGGGCCGATCGTGCAAGACTATTTTGACACTTTGCCCATGGCGATCCTCACCTTGACGCAGAATCTCGCCAAGAGAGGGTGCGGAACGACTGGGTTCTTCTAGCAGCAAGTATTTTCCTCTTTGTCACTGCTACCGCAATATGTTGCCCTGCATTGCTTAGCCTTGTGGCGTCCATCAGAGTCAGGAGCCTTCTAGAATATCTAGAATCGCAACATATGTGCTGGGAGAAGAACAGCAGGGAGCTTTTTTGATTTGCAGCGATGACCGCTGATTGAATGATCTTAAATGACCATTTGATGTTTTTTGGGGTTTGGAACTTCCATTCAATACTCCCCCGGAAGCACTTGAGGGAAGGGGAATAGCTTTTTGGAAGCTCGCAGCGGCCTTTTTTAGGGGAGTCGGGTCCAGGATTTGCTTTCCAAGCCAAGGAAAGAAGACGAACGGACATTCCTGGTATTCACATTCTTTTGGACACGGGAAGAAATCAACATGCGTAGGAACCTATGGTCTATGGTCTTTTAGCCAAGGGGAAACAAATTTTGGATCTTGGAAATTGCTTGGGTTGTTTTGGATGCGATTTGACCAGGAAATTGAACAAATAAGTCAAATTCAAGCCACAGCTGGTTAAGCCATAGGACCATAGGAATTGGGCCTCAGAGGGCTCAGAGGCTCAGAGTAGCAGTTGCTCAAAAAGGGGAAGACGGAAAAACAACCATTCCCATTGACGCAGTTTGTGAGAAGGTTTTGTGTGTTTTGTTTGAGCCACGCGCTGCGGTGTAGGACATGCTCGACCCGGTGTATCGATCGGGGGTCACGTGTTCGGTGTTCGCTGATCGCGGCTGCCAGGTTCGTGACCTTGGACTCGGTCGCTCAAATCTACTACCCACTCATTGTGCAGCTTGGAATCGCACGTGGCTTTTGGGTTTGTAGAAGAGCAGATCAATTGAAGCATGAGAGCCTTGCAATCTAGCTTCTTGTTCCCAGCAGTAAGGCCAGGAGCCCCTAGTAGCGTCCTTGCTCCTAGTAGCGATGCCAGGAGCCCCTAGTAGCGTCCTTGCTCCTAGTAGTAAGGCCAGGAGCCCCTAGTAGCGTCCTTGCTCCTAACGTTTTTGATGGTTTTGACTCTTGACAAATGAGATCAATTGAGTTCTTTCACAGACTGAAGAGATAACTTAGTATGCCTTTTGCAGCAAGTGAGACCATTTTTGTGGTGTCCGAAGAAGGCGTCTCAGATGTGAAAATGACCACGGACTTTCTGGAACTCGCGAGTTTAGAGACGACTTGTACTCGTTCACCGTTCTTGGTCTCAGCGGTGGTTTCATTGTGTCACACACCTTTGGAACACCTGCCGGTTCGCAGTGCTAAGCCTCAAGCTGTGCCAACGACGTACGCGAACGCCGTGCGATCCAATCTCCCGAGAATGCCGGTGAGCCGTCCACGATCCATGGAGGATTGGCTTTATGTGGCATGGCTTCAAGGAGGAAACCGTCCAAACGCTTAGTTATGGATTCGGTGTCCACTATACTACGTTTGCGACATTCCATCTTCCACCTACGCTACCGTACAACGTATGATGTTCAACGAGCATTCTAACTCAACAACTTGATCAGCAAATTGCAATTCTTTGTGTTTGCTTTGGCTTGAGTCCAAGGTCCTGCCTGATTGTGTAACATCTGAATCGTGGGCAGTGACTATCTCACAACCAAAAGCTTCCTGTCCAAAGCTGGACTGAAGGATTTCGTTTCAAACGGTCCGAGAAGACACGGTCAGGAGATTTTAAGCAGATATATTGCTGATTCTTGCATACGAGCTTGTACCGGTGGTCTATAGGCTACTAAGAAGACCGCTGGGTGCGTGTAGTAGCAAGCAGCAATAGATGTAGGTCAACTAAGTAGTTGCGTTTAGTAGTAAGCTTCAAGAGTGGTAGCAAGGAAGCCGTTACCTTCTATGAAGCTCTCAGGTTCTCGGGACGCTGGGATTTAGACACTTCTGTGTTCTATTCCTTTTAGAACAGTTCTTGCAGTCTTAGCCGAATTAGATCGAATTAGGGCGCATCTAAGGCTCAGCTTTTGCACCGACCATGTCCTTGGGGTGGTCATCTCGTGAAGTTTGAGACTTGACCCAAGCCCAGGGCCCAAGGTGCAAAGAGAGCCAAAGGGAACCGAAGGGACCGGGGCTCTCACAGCAGTTCCGGCTTTGGGAAACTTGATGCTGTTTCGTTTCCTACTACCATACCTTTGAATTCATTGGTAAATCATGGAGAGAGTCGCGGAGAATGTACTAGGCTAGGTGTGCACTTCTGTTTGGAGGCCATCAACAAATTACTATGACGCCTTTGCTGGGCCGAAAATACTGCCGTTCAAGTAGCATGCTTCTATATGCTTGGCCTTTTCTCGATGCAACCAGGTGCGCTTTTGGTGCAAGGTGTCGGTTCTCTAATTTTCTATTCAGTCCTGAAACATCCTGAAACCCTATTGCCCCTATTGCTGATAGAGCTCGTGCCATGTTCAACTTGATATAAGCTCTTTGGCGTCACTTTCAAACTTATGTAATGTCATGTTCTCTTGGTACGTAGGGACTTCACCCAATAATGTTTCTGCTGGGAAGGAAGGACGTGGCTCGCGCAACACTCTTTTTTTCTAAGTTGTAAGCAATCCGGGACATTCAGAATGTTGATGCGGCAAGCAAGCAAATTAGAGCGGTACTGTTTGAATGTCTCTGGAAAGTGCTATCGTCATCTTATTTCACTTTGCACCCGTGTCACGCTATTGTTCTATCTGAACTTTTGTTACAGTACACTTTTTTGTAAACGCTTCTGCGCTCTTGCGCATTTGTTCTATCTTGAAATTATGTGGTTTGTTAATAATTGCTTTTGGTTTGTTGCCTGCTTGCTTGGTGTTTTGTTGCCTCCAACTTTCGTCATTCTGTTGCTTGTTTCTCGACAAATATCCCTTTGTTGTTTGCCCTGCTTAGTTGAGGGAGGTTATTTTCTTGTCCCATTTTGTCGCCCCTTGGCAATGTTGACACTGTGGTTCCTCCATTCTCGTTTCTGTAGCGTTTCTACTTCTTGCTTTTGCAAAACACTAATAAAATCAAGTCAAGCCAACTGACCCTAAAAACCTTGCTGCCATACAGATACTGTATCAGCAAATACATTCAGCTTGTTTTGAAATGTGGTGTTGTTCTTGGCTCAAAATTGTGCAATCACACCCAACATCAGCATCACCCCACCGCCCCAACCCCCGCATCGATGAAGCAACCTCTTTAACCTCTTTGCCGCAGCAATCGGAGTTTCGCCAACATTGCGTTTGCCACCCGTCTGTGTTGAAGCAAGTTCATACATATAAGCCATTTCGTGGAACATCCAATTTGTGCAAAGCACAAAAGCCGGTGTATTTCGTATCTTTCATGGAAAGTGTGTGTGTGTGCTTTTCCTCACCCACCCAGCAATACAGACACTGATCCACCATGATTTCTTCGGCGATCTGGTCGAACTTGAGACAGTCGAGGATTTCCACCTCCTCGGCTTCAACATAGATCTGCCCACTCGCACAATTACATACATCCAACCAACACAGTCCTGGAAAATCCGGGACCCCACATCAGCAGGCAGCACACGATTGAAACTTTTCTCAGGGACTTGCGTCCCGTCTCCATACCATTTACAAGTACACCTACCCACAAACGGCTGCGGACGCTGTAGCGGACCACCTTGTCAACCTGTACATCCACAAAGGACATGCAGCAATCGACTGCAAACGGTTTTAGAAGAGCAGAAAAGATTTCAATTTGCTGCGTGCGAGCGCCGCTAAGCGGCCGCGTGTGTGTGTGTGTGTGTGTAACCCTTGGAATCACAGGGATCCTTTCGGATTGTTCTCGCTTTTGGTATTTTGAGCTTTTTAGCAGGGGGACACGGCACCAGATTGCAGACCGTGTCTAACAAAGCTATGCAATCTGGTGGGATATCCAGCTTGGCCAGCTGGACGTACCTGCAATTTTCCTTTTCCGAATGGCAAGAGGCTAAGCCAAGAACCTCGATGCTTCAATGTTTTGATGTTTTCTTTGCACTGCAGATGCGAGCGGATCGTCGTCAGCCTGTTCGTCCGTCGTTCGTTTTCTTCCTTTTGGGCCCTACTTCCTCTTGAAGACCTCCAGGATCCAGTGGTTCGTACGTGTACCCTTAGGAAATGGAACCCTAGGCCGGCGTGTGGCACCGCTTTCAGTTCAGTATGCATATCCATAAGTGTGTTTGGCCTCGTGCCAACCCGGGATGAGCCCGCAGAGTGCCTCCCGTGGACCCGTTGAACGGGGGTTTGTCGAACGTATCCACTGCCCGGATACAGAGCAGCTCGCAGCGAGCGTAGGTGGCCTAGGCCGTACGTACGATGATTTTTGTCTCATCTTTGGAATTCCAAGTTGGCTTATGCCCTTACGTGACCGCAGCGGTCAGAGGTGGCAGCCTTCGGGCAAGCCGTACGTGGTCGCAGCGACCAAAGTTTGTTCAAGGCTCATTGGAGTCTGTCGAGCACTTAGCCCCCCCTTCTCCCCCTTCCCTCCCCCGTTCTTTCTTTGCTTTCTGGGGTTTTCCTGAAATACTCAGGATCACCCCTCTCTTTCTTGGGTGTGTCCCTGGACGATTGTTCGTAGCTGGGAACACCTTCCTTTCCTTTCCCTTTCTCTCCCTCTCTCTTTCTTTCCTTCTCTCTTTCCTCTCTTCACCCTTTTCCTTGGGTGTCCCTGGATGCTTCGTCATAGCTGGGAGCCCTTCCTTTTGGTGTGTCCCTGGACGCATGTGTCGTAGCTGGGAGCACCTTTGTTTCCTTCTTTCTTTCCCTCTCTTTTCTTCCTCCCCCTGCCCCCTCTTCCCTCGCGCGCAGCGTGTTTACAAGCAAACTAGGCTTCTGCAACAGGTTGTTTCTAATGAGGTTTGGTTTGTCATCGGTTTGTCCCCGTTCATTTGGTTCCCCTTTCATCGGCCTCCACAGACGTTTTTTTTCCTCTTTTCTTTCATGTCTTTCTGTCTTCATGTCTCTTCATCCTCATCCTTTCTTTCTCTTGCGCGCACTATCGTCCGGACCTTAGTTTGTACACATACACGCACGCGTACTCTACTTACAGCGAGGTTCAGGTGGCCCAGGTTCGTTACAATGAGGTTTGGCTCATCGGTTGTCCCTCTTCACTTGCTTGGTTCCTTTTCATCGGCAACCACACACACCTTTGTCTGTCTTGTCCTTCTCATTTTCATCTGTCCCTTTTGCGTGCACATGTGCCTACCTCCTTTCCGGGCAGGATGGAGGTCACACATGCCTCCCTTCGGGGAGGCGTGTGTGTGTAACCCTTGGAATCACAGGGATCCTTTCGGATTGTTCTCGCTTTTGGTATTTTGAGCTTTTTAGCAGGGGGACACGGTGCCCGATTGCAGACCGTGTCTAACAAAGCTATGCAATCTGGTGGGATATCCAGCTTGGCCAGCTGGACGTACCTGCAATTTTCCTTTTCCGAATGGCAAGAGGCTAAGCCAAGAACCTCGATGCTTCAATGTTTTGATGTTTTCTTTGCGCTGCAGATGCGAGCGGATCGTCGTCAGCCTGTTCGTCCGTCGTTCGTTTTCTTCCTTTTGGGCCCTACTTCCTCTTGAAGACCTCCAGGATCCAGTGGTTCGTGCGTGTACCCTTAGGAAATGGAACCCCAGGCCGGCGTGTGGCACCGCTTTCAGTTCAGTATGCATATCCATAAGTGTGTGCGTGTGTGTGTCAACCCCTGTTTCGAAGGGAACTTTTCTATCTATCTACTTTCTTTCGTGACGCTTACTTTACCTTTGTACAGAACAGTGGCAGGGGGGGCAGAGAGGACTTGCAAGGCTCTGCCCAACGAAGCTCCTTGCAAGATCCCACGAAGCGGAAGCTGATCACTTCCGTGTACCTGCATCTTTTGAACTTTTGTACCAGCCGTCTCACGTTTCACTTAAGCAACATTCAGTTAAACTGACCCAGCACCTCTTTTTCAGTCAAAGTCTAATTTGCAGTAACAATAAAGTGCCAATGCTCACCGCGAATAGCCTGAAGACAAACTCCACGGAGCAACCTTCTCAAGTGTGTTTCGCAGCTTCTTCCCACTGTGGTAAGCTGTGTGAACCCTACGGGGCGCCGTTACCGAGAGAACCTTCTCACTCCTCACCGTAGGAGTAATTTCTCTGAATTTTTCTGAAGCTCTTCCGACTGAATTTTCTTGCTCGAAAGCAGCTTACTTGGAATGTCTCACCTCGTACACGTGAATTTCACTGCAGAGTTCACTGAAAGATTTACTGAATTTCACTGCAGAGTTCAACTGAATCCTGTTTCACCCAGGAGATGTCATTACCGATTTTCCAAGGTTTCAGCTTTTTCAAGTTCCAATTCAGTTTTTGGGACTTCTAATACCCTAACTACTTGCTCGATCTTCTAAACAGTTTCTTTGCAGTTATACACATTGGAACACAAGAGCTTGCGCAGTTGTATAAATTTATTTACCTTGCTTGAGTTGCTGCCATGGCGTATCCTTGGCCATACACATTGCCACCAACATTTCAGCAGCAACCACAACCAACGCAACCCCTGGTATCCTTGTCCACCACAACCTCAACCACAACCACCACTTACTATGATTGCACATGTTCCACCACACGCCCCCTTACCGCACATTTACCCACCCAACACCACCTTTCCACACTTTCCACAAATTACACCCCATCCACCACACATGCATTCCTCACATCAGCATCAGCCACACTTCCCTCACGCACATTTTCCAGTACAACACCAGTCCTCCACCCCACCATCCACAAGCCAACATTCGACGCACCATCCACAACATCCACCGCAACATTCACCACATACCACAATGCCGACAGATCCATCACCCACTGCTGAACAAACCCCTCACCTGTTGTCATTCCCCCACACACACCAGCGCATGCCACCTCTGACACCACACAGACTGGCGTTACATCTGTTCAACCACCCCAACCCCTCACATCAGAACAGTCCAACCCACCAGCCACACCAACACCCACCGTACATTCAGCACGCACCACTCGACCGACGCCGTCCATTGCACCTACATTGAGTACTAC